TCTCTCTCTCTCTCTCTCTCTCTCTCTCTCTCTCTCTCTCTCAGCTCTCTCTACCATCTACCCATAGCGAGGGTTATCGTTATCGGCTGGAGCGCGCTGATCAGGAATGAAGCCGATGTAACCATCGTTTTGGGGGTTGGGCCACCTCATGCGCATTGCCTCCTCGAATTCCGTCGGCTGTCCCTGACAGCGAGTGTAACCGTAGAGGTTTGCGAACTCCCTGTACCCGACGAATCTGTTAGCCGCCGCGTCTAGTCGATCGTTTTCCACGAGGATATGCAAAAATTGGTCATTGCGGTCCTCCTGACCCACAATCTGTACCGCGGTTTCAACCAAAAACACAGGATGCGGCCATGCTGCCCGTATTTCATCCCCGTTCATATGCGGGGGAGGAGGTTGTGGGCGACGTGCGGCGACGACTGCTGGCCGAAGACCGGGGCCCCTCGACCGCGCAAAACTCTACGTCTTGGTCGACGACCGTACACCATGTCCCGATCATCTTCGTTGTTGGGTGCTTGAGGTTGTGCCTGCTCCATTATAGTGTCTCGTTGTGAGTATCTGCAACAAATGCGGTGGAAGTTAGTGTTGGTCCGCAGAACCTGGAAAAGAAATATCGAAAAAAATATTCTCCATTGTATACAAAGTATGGCGGACAAATGGTAGAACTAAACGTAAGCGGGATGACAATACGGATAGTAATAACTTACACGAACTGAAAAAACAAAACCGTCCGCCGCAGGACCACATGTGATTGAGAAGAAAAAAAACAGTACTTGAAAGGAAGAACGAATAGAAAAAAAAAACAAAAAAATTTATAAATCGTTTTTGTTATTTCCGACCACTACGCTCTCAACTAGATTGGGAACATTGGAATTTTTCTTTTTCCTTGCTTTTTTTTGTTTGTCCTCCACGCACCTTTTTTTTTTTTTTTTTTTTTTCCGGGTTTTCCGTTTTTTTTTCCATAACGACTGTTTTCATATCTTCGGTACTGCCCCTTCTTTCGGCTCTCGACTAGGGAACAGCGGCGAGAAGGCGGTAGTACATATGTGGTCACCTTCTGCATGCGTATATATATATATATATATATACAGTTTGTCACAACCCCTCGTTTGTTGTCCTCTTCTCTCTCTCTGCCTACGGTTTACCGGGCAGTTCTGTTTGTGACGATATATAGAACTACCCGGTAAACCGTAGGCAGAGAGAGAGAAGAGGACAACAAACGAGGGGCTGTGACAAACTGTTTCGTCGAAGTTTCATCGACTCATCAGGAGG